CAGGACCTTAAGTGTGGTTATTCACTTAACCTCTGCCGACCAACATGGTGAATCCACAAACTTCAACCTTCGAGTTTATGGAAATTCAATGGCTAGTTCTTGCGATCTTGCAGGTGTAGGGATAGCATTGAGCAGTCGGGAAGAAAGCTCACTACTAGACTGGATCACAGTTGACACTCGCCTATGAGCTATCCGACTGAACGTCACAATGAGAACTAGAAGTAACAGTGAAACTCGCCGTTGTCTCTTTGTATTCTCTGCTTACGCACCCACCGACTACAGTCCGGATGAAGGGAAGAATAAGTTCTACCGCAAAACTATCCAGCCTCCTTCTGAAAGCCAAACGGTCAGATATGGTTGTTGTTGCACAAGCGGGTAGGCTGAATCAGGCAGAAAGGCACACATTGTTATCAGTAATCTCTGAAGAGGGTCGGTGGAAGACTTCCGCTCCTTCTGCAGCATGTGTTTGATTCGATCATGTATATATCTGCGTAGATGATGTGAGACTTTTCAGTTGAGTGTACACCCCTACCAACTATAGTAGACAAAGTTGTATGCGAATAAACAATTAGAAGATAAAGTTTAATGTGCTTTCGAAATATCAACGAGAGGAATACATTAACACCATTGTGTGACCGATTTTTGACCATATCACCAACAGTCAGTTCTCAACCACTGATTCCTTTCATCCCGGGGATCCAAGTCAGGTAGTTTACATTTTCCAACACTCCTTAGGTCAACAATCAGAGATTTCATCGATTGGTGCCAAGTTTCGATCTGATCACCATGAACTTTCTTCCAATATCATCTAATATGACACATCGAAGTAAGCGGTAAGGTAGGTATAACATTATAAACCGACTTGACGTCACCTGACCTCTACACTGCTTACATAGTGATTCCATTACACGTTAGCAATGCTATGAAGGTAACAACAGTACAGTTGGTGAGTATTTTCTAGTTATTGTTGAATTTTCATCTTAGTTGATGAAGATTCACAACCATATCAACTGATTTACCTCTTCTCCTTCTCTAAAACTCTACACCTGACGTCTGCATTACTCACATGGTGTGATGACACCACGAAATATGGCCCATACTACGACGAAGGCAACGGTGGTGAATCACATGAAGCCTTCTCATGTCTTCCACTTTCAATGGCCATGCTTCACAGCCACACAGTAGAACAGGCCTGACATCTGTGCAGTACACGTGACCCTTGGTAGACAAACGGATATCACGGCGGCGTAAATTGGTGAAAGCCAATCTAGCCTTTTGTATCCGTGCAGAGATTTCATCGGCAACTGGCCCACCAGGGTCGATCCTACTTCCCAGGTAAGTGAAGTAGTGGACACATTCAACCACTCTCTATTGTTAGCCGTGGCACTGCTGAAGACCAATCCTGGAGTAACAATTCGCACTTGGATGGTGAGAAACGCATCCCAAACATTCTTAAAGTGTCCAGAAGACTCTGCATCTTATCAGCGTTTTCATTTAACAGGACTATGTCATCTGCATATTCTAGGTCTAACGAAAATTCTCCTGCGATTCCGTCAACCTATTTGTAGTCAAGTGATGAGAGGGAGACCTCTTTAAGAATATCTATTGCTAAGATTGAAATAATAACGGAGAGAGTAGGAAGCCTTGACAGACACCGCTCGACGAGCACAGCTTCCTGGACATCTCACCATAGGCTCCAACATGCCTACAAATGTTCGAATAGAGAGTCTTCAGTCAGGTGATGTACCTACTCGGTATATCTTTCAGTAGGAGAAAGAGAGAGAGAGAGAGATAATATCGATTCATAATAAACTAATTTACCTACTGAAGTGAATGATTAGGAACACTGTGATGCATTACGTTCAGTCTCACAAACTTTATTGCGTAATAGATAAGCAAAAATCTTTCAATACGGAAAGGTGTAGATTTCGGTACATATCAATATACGTTTAATGTTTATGAATCAACTTGGCTCAGTGCCAATATTCAGTGTTCCATTGAAAGAGTACTAACTTGAAAACACATCAGTTTCACCTTGAATCCCACAGAGTTTATTCATCATAAATGTCTTCTTAGTATTGCTAGCATTTGATGGAATCACCATCTCACTAATGTTGATGTCAAGCGAAGGGTACTATGCTACGGTATGATGGATTTACATTGGAAGAGGGTTAAGAGTGACCAGATTAAAACGTTACACTAGTCCATCAAGTTTATGACCTATGAAGCGAGGTATAGAGTACCTGATTGACATCCCTGAAATAATAGGAATATGAATGACGTCGACTAACGCCCGAATATATCTTCAAAATGAAATTAGTCCCACTCCAGTGACTAATCAATACATGTAAACCAGCCCTACAGGAGGTCAGCCGCAGCCCGAATAGCTCAGTGGTAAAGTCGCTGACTACAACACGGAGTGAGCAGGACATCAGTTCCGTCGAGGTTGCAGATACGCCTTGCTGACGAGTGGCAAAGAGCACGAGACCTAGGTGAGGCAGGGCTCCCTGCCGATTGCCTCCAACCAACTAACATCTACTACTGTGCACCAGGATGCTGAGCTTCCTAGCTTGGTTACCACATTGCAAATATGATCGACAGAATTCGATCTGCACTCAGGACCAGACAACATGAAATTGGTTGCACTCTCGTGACCAATCAGAAATTGTTTACTCTTTCATACATTTGTGTGCGATGTTGTTCTACATTGATTTTGTCTATCTGTCTGTCTGTTTTTCTATGAAGTGTCATATTGCACAACAGAAAGTCCTAACCATCTTTAATCCTCCGCTTCGCTAAGGATTTACAGATCACGAAAAACAGTGAATACATATGAGACCTGTTCAAACCGCAGACGTTATTTATTGCTTTATGATTATCTCAAGTATCGATTAACTATACATGAATACGACCAAACAAATAGAAACACACACACTTCGAAATAAATCTCCCAATGTTCTACTGCGAAGCCGTGACCTGTTATCACTACCAAAATCAGATGTGAGGGCAAGTACTTGCCAAAAGCGATGATTGATTGATGCGTTATACCACGAACTGACAGCAAAAACATGTGAACCGTTGGAATCCAAACTGAGTAATTGACTAACAACATGTTTGCAGCGCGACCCGATGTTACTCACTTCAGTCTATCATACAATTCTTAGTGAGTACGATTGAGAAGTCGCATACTGGTATCAAAAAAGCTGTCCAGCGTTCCCATTTCATCGTTAAAAAAAATACTGTTGACCTATTGGATAACCCTTGAGTGTTTCAATGATCCGTTTGAGCCGCAATGAGAATAACACCATACACTGACGTGCAGACGAAATGTGCGTCCCCGATTCCACTCTGCTAGTATCATTATTATAATGGGTCTCTTGGGTTCCTAATGGAACATACGGCGTCAGTAGCACGTCTCCAGTGCACTCTGTTCTCAGCAGACTTTTAAACCTGACTCCATGACAGCCCACAAGCTCTCATACCCTCCTCACACGATCTCCTCCATATCACCCTTGCCTCGGACGCCCAACTCATCACCTCCCATCGGGGTTCCACTCGATCAACTCGCCTGACGCGTGATGTCCACAGTCGGCCTTCTCAGTGTATACCCAATCCAATCAATCTCCACTTCCTTCCAGTGCATATTTGTTGAGCGATTGGTTCTTGCTTTGTTGGTTCGTCACCAGCCACAGTTCCTTGTTGCTTATTCTTTCTGGCCATCTGATTTGATCTGATCTGATCTGATCTTCAGTAAGTAGCCAGAGTAGGTGGCAGTTGTTGATGAATGTCTGTAGTTTGTTGGAAATCCCTTTCGTAACGCGCCAAGTCTCTGAATCATACAGGAGCACTGACTAGACTCAATTGGTGTTGAAAATCCTGATCTTGTTCCACATGCTGAGTGCAGAAGATCTTCATACTGGTTTCAGGTTAATGCAGGAACGCCTGTCTTGTTGCTTTTCTGATCCTGGCTGGTTTTGATGTCGTCGTCTGTGCCGCCACCTGTAGTTGGAACAGTGCTGTCTAGATAGGTGAAGGAGGTTACTTCCTTTACATTTCTCCCGTTGATGGTGATGGTGATTGGAGTTTGTTGTTGTTGTTGTTGTTGGTGTTGTTGGTTGGGTATCTTCATCACCTCTGTCTTCTCTATATTCACTTGAAGGGAGTCCCATCTTCAATGCCCCTTCTGACAACTTGCTAGTTTTCGCCTGTAGATCTTCAAGTTTGCGCGACACTAGACACAAGTTGTCGACGAAATCCAAGTCTTCTAGGATCTTTTCCAGAGTCCAGCGTATCCCCCTCTTCTCGCTCCCCACTGTTTGCTGAATGATCCAGTCCACTACAATCAGGAATATCATGGGTGATAGTAGGCAGCCTTGTCTAGTCTTACTCCTGTCTTCACTTCACTTGGAAGGCATCACTGAGCTTCCCATTGTGAATTACTTGGCATGTGGCATCTTCATATAGTTGTTGAATGAGGCTGATAAAGGTTTCTGGTATTCCACAATGTTGAAGCAGTTTCCAAATTACTTCTCGGTCGACGCTGTCAAAGGCCTTCTCAAAGTCGATAAAGTTGAGGTAGAGAGTTGACTGCCATTCTATACTTTGTTCCATGATGATGCGAGGCGTTGCGATTTGGTCCGCACATGATTTGTACTTCCTGAAGCCTGCCTGTTCCGGTCGTAGTTTTGAATTCAGTGCATCCTTTAGTCTCTCCAAGATGATTCGGTTTAATATTTCGCTTGGGGTGGACAGGACCGTGATTCCGCGCCAGTTCTTGCAAACACTGAGATCTTCCTTCTTCGGAAGTTTGACAAAGTAGTAGCAGTAGTAGTAGTAGTCAACAAGATCAATTTACCAACAGAACTTTATTGACCCTGTAAGGATAGAAAAATCTTAATCATAACTAACCAAAACAAAAAATCGAACCAGAAAGAAAAACAAAACGCCTATCATATCTCAAAACTGTCAAAGTAATAAATAAAACAGCGCTCATCACTCACCACAATGATTTATTTCGAAGTACAGGAGGCTTGTAACTACGCATGCCAAGAATACGCAGAGCTCTACATCCATTGGAAAGAGAATCGATGGTGAACAAAATAAACAAAAAAGGAAATGTTTAGGACATAGAGTTAAATATCACTAACAATAAAACATTCAATACAAACTGGAAAACATAGATAAACAATGAAATGGAGGAGAATATTTGTAGCTCAGATGAATAGTCTTCGTTGTATTGTGTTCTCTGAGCAGCTGAGTTGTCTACTCATGCAGACGCTTTCATCGTCCTTCTACCTAGACGACATCTTCATCAGCATTAACCTCAGCATAAGGTCAGCTAGCTGTCGATATCTCTACATGAGTGATTCACTGACCTTACCCTAACGAATCTGCTTGTGATTGATTGTTTACCTTGACTGTTGTATCATTGACTCACTGAATAGATCTTCCCGCTTGCTGTTCCTCTGCTTCACCTCTCACCTTTCTATCGTTTATCATTCTTCTCATTGGCTGGTAGATTGAGTCTATGTCTAGACATCTGTGGATTGTTGACTGACTGAGCTGAGCTGAATACAAAGCTTCTACGAATTCTCTGATCACATTCTTTGTGTTTCCTCTCTCCCTGGCCAACATTTCTACATTGTCAAAATTCAATTCATCTCCATATAGTTGTTATCTGCGTGTATTGAGGAATGGTCGATGAAATGTCATCATGTTTAATGGCGAATTGATGTTCTCATGTGAAGGACGGTGAAGACGGCGACCACTTTGTGGAATGTAGTGTTGACTACAGTTGGTTATTTAAGTTGATTTTGTAAATGATATTCGGTGGTTTGTCTTTTTCTGGGCTGGCTTTTTCCAACTTACGCAACCTATGGCGCCGTCATGATATCCGATTGTATATTAAGGGTCACGTGTACTGCACAACAGTCTGATCTGTTCTGCTATATGGCTGTGAAACATGGCCATTGAAGGTGGAAGACATGAGAAGGCTTCAAGTGTTTGACCACCGTTGTCTTTGCCATAGTATAGGCCATATCCCTTAGTGTCACCACGTGAGTAATACAAAAGTCAGGTGTAGGGTTTTAGAGAGAAAGAAGAGGTAAATCAGTCGACACGGTTGTGAATCTTCATCGACTGAGATCACTGGTTGGTACACGTGTTACTTATGCCTAGTCGCCGAAGCAGGTTCAGACTGGAAAAATGCTGGAGGCGGCTAGACAAAAAAAAATGACACCAATGTATGAAGTGTTTGGCTGTTGGTTTAAGCCATGTGAGGCGATGCAGACTTGGTGATTGGGGTCTACGGGACAAGAGAAACCAGTGGTTGGAGATTGACTCTAGGTGACATGGTTCAGAACCGATGTGAGTGGCGCAGATGTATACATACATTATCCTCATCTTAACGATGCTATACCGAATCTCATCATTTTCTCATTCTTCCTTTCTCTCTTTTAGTACTTTATATTTCTTTTGATCGAATTTTCTTTTCTTCATCTTCCACTGCACTGCCTTGTTTACTTGATGTGGTTATATGAGCTGTGAGAACTCGACCTATTTCGCAGTAATGCCTAGTCCTATATTGATTTCGATAGATAGAAGGATATCTTCTTTGATTGTTGGATCCCCTTTTACTTTGTATAATAGGATTTGCAGCGAAGTTGTTGGTTAATGAGGCACCCCACATCAATTTGAAATGGCTTCAGTAATCTTGTCATGATTAAGAAAATTACTTGATATCTATCTTGAAGAAGAATGGCTACCTACGAAACTTTGTCATAAGATACATATCGTGTACATTATCAACTACAAAGTCATCGATAGAAATCAACAAACACATCATCCTACCATACATAAAGAATATATCAGAAATCACGATAAGATTACTGAGACCACATGGAATTGATGTGGGACGCCTCATCAACGAACAAATTCCCTCCAAACACTATTATGTAGACCAAATGAGACGTAAAAGTCAAAGAATACAAACCACCGAATATCACTGACAAAATCAACTTAAATAACCAACTGTAGTCAACACTACATTCCACAAAGTGGTCGCCGTCTTCACCGTCCTTCACATGAGAACATCAATTCGCCATTAAACATGATGACATTTCATCGACCATTCCTCAATACACGCAGATAACAACTATATGGAGATGAATTGAATTTTGACAATGTAGAAATGTTGGCCAGGGAGAGAGGAAACACAAAGAATGTGATCAGAGAATTCGTAGAAGCTTTGTATTCAGCTCAGTTCAGTCAGTCAACAATCCACAGATGTCTAGACATAGACTCAATCTACCAGCCAATGAGAAGAATGATAAACGATAGAAAGGTGAGAGGTGAAGCAGAGGAACAGCAAGCGGGAAGATCTATTCAGTGAGTCAATGATACAACAGTCAAGGTAAACAATCAATCACAAGCGGATTCGTTAGGGTAAGGTCAGTGAATCACTCATGTAGAGATATCGACAGCTAGCTGACCTCATACTGAAGTTACTGCTAATTATTTAATTACCCAAGTCCGATAAAAACATGAGCATCGAGAAACAGAGTATTATTCACACATCTTTGCTGACTAATAGTCTAAGGCTGTATATCAAGATATTGGCTTTCTGACTGCTGTTGTTCATAAGTATAGCTGAATCACACAGTAGAACAGTCTTCAGCTATTGATGCGATTACCTTCATTGCCTTGCCTATCTTCCAACGAAATACCCACATCAGTATGCACAGGCGGCGTGTGGCTACTAGGTGAAGGCGCTGACGTAGTCTAAATTCTCCTAAACGAATTGCATAGAAATTTGAGTATGTTTGACTGGCCTATGTTTCACCACTTTGACTGTAAGGGTACAGAATGAAGTGGTGGAATGTGCCGACAACTTCACGTACTTGCAGAGTTGCATCAACCCGAACGCGATGGTTGCTGACGGAATCTCAACTCAGATACAGTAGGCGCACTTGGCATTTAATCAACTTGTGTTATGTATAGCGAGAAAACTGCCAAGATATCCGGTTGTCTATTGAAGGACAAGTATACTCCAACGCAACCCATTCTGGCTTATTATACGGCTGTGAGATATGGTCATTAAACGTGGGAGAGAAAAAATGGATTACAAGGTTTGATCATAGGTGTCCTCGTAGAAATGTTGAGGTTGTGAACTTCTATCAACTGAGACGGTTTTGACATGTATTGCACCTTTCGAGTCACCGCCTACTCCGACGTAACATGCTATAGGAAGTTAAATAAGGTTAGAAGAGGGCTGAGAGTGACCAGACCAAGATGTGGCACCGATCGATGAAGAATCTTACTATTGATCTGACCCGTGTGTAAACTAATGCCTGGTTGGGATCCTCAAGATGACAGAAACGAGTGGTTAAAGGAAAATCAGTGAGGTGCCTCGACAGTGATATGAGCCCGAATCAATCAAAATAACCTATTCACTCCATGACTGATCGATCAATCATCGAATGTTTGCCCTGACACTAAATGTAACAGACAAGACGCAGTTCATAACCTCATTAATCCATTTACCTTCCTTGCTTGCTTAGTACCCTTCACCTGACCTAAGCATTGCTCACATCTATGATTTAAAAAAATGTGATAACTTCATATCTCTTACGTTTAACGGACATATCTCGCAGTTGTATAAAAAGGACAGAATGGAGTGCGGTGCAGTATACTCGCCCTTCAGAGATGAAGCAAACTGACCAAATGCTAAATGGATTTACTGTTTCTCAGTTGAGATTTCGTCAGCTACCAGCTGGCTCCTCAAGTAAGCGAATTCGTCAACATACTTCATCACTTCACTCCCTATCATTAACATAATAGTTATGATAATTGGTCATTATTTGACAGGATAACTAACAAGTTGGCAGAAGAGGCAGTGAAAACGAGACTCCCTTCAAGTGAATATAGAGAAGACAGAGGTGATGAAGATACCCAACCAACAACAACAACAACAAACTCCAATCACCATCACCGTCAACGGGAGAAATGTAAAGGAAGTAACCTCCTTCACCTATCTAGACAGCACTGTTCCAACTACAGGTGGCGGCACAAACGAGGACGCCAAAACCAGCCAGGATCGAAAAAGCAACAAGACAGGCGTTCCTGCATTAACCTGAAACCAGTATGGAGATCTTCTGCACTCAGCATGTGAAACAAGAACCGGATTTTCAACACCAATCCAGTCAGCTCAGTGCTCCTGTATGGTTGAGAGACTTGGCGCGTTACGAAAGGGATTTCCAACAAACTACAGACATTCATCAACAACTGCCACCTACTCTGGCTACTTACTGAAGATCAGATCAGATCAGATCAAATCAGATGGCCAGAAAGAATAAGCAACAAGGAACTGTGGCTGGTGACGAACCAACAAAGCAAGAACCAATCGCTCAACAAATATGCACTGGAAGGAAGTGGAGATTGATTGGATTGGGTATACACTGAGAAGGCCGACTGTGGACATCACGCGTCAGGCAAGTTGATCGAGTGGAACCCCGATGGGAGGTGACGAGTTGGGCGTCCGAGGCAAGGGTGATATGGAGGAGATCGTGTGAGGAGGGTATGAGAGCTTGTGGGCTGTCGTGGAGCGAGGTTCAAAAGTCTGCTGAGAACAGAGTGCACTGGAGACGTGCTACTGAAGCCCTATGTTCCATTAGGAACCCAAGAGACAAATAATAATAATAATTTGACAGGATAAGGTAAATACAACTCCCCATAGGATTACAACCTTATAACTGCTGAATGACATCCGCGAAGTCGATATCAACAAATGTCATTTCGAGCTTCAAATCAATCAACCAATCAATCCCTAAAAAAGTCACCAATTATCTACATATATAAAGTTTCGATTGTAAGACTACGACGTAACTCTTACGCATATATAATCACTTATCAGGCTTATTAAAGCACGTATACAGTACACGTGTCTACTAATATATACATATTATATACACATGTATGTGAGCGTAAGTGCCTGGGTTTGTAATTGACAAAATAGTTAAGTACCGAAATTATACCATGCAAAATGTCAATCACCTTTGTAGACTTT